CCTCAATGTTTTCAAAATTTCCGCCATTAGAGTTTTTTAGACAAAGGGCCAGAAACTGTTTTTAGGAAATGTTTTTATCAAAAGTCTTCCCTGCTTTTTATCCAGTGAGATGCAGCGGTTGTAGTCAAGCAGGCTAACGCTCTTGTTCTCGTTCTTTAACAGAAAAACAGTTTCTCTCTGGAAGCAACAATAATGACGATTCAGATGATGACGATGACGATGATGATGAAGTTGTGGTTTTGGAAGGAAAGAAGGGAAAGGACAAAGCTGAAAGCGCCCTCATGGCCAGACTACAAGATGATGTTAAAGCGGATGAAGAAACTCACAAGTTGGATGGAAAAGCCACGAAAAACCAGAGAACAGAGAAGAAGGAGTTCCGAAGAAGAGTTATTGACTATGTGCTTGAAAAGTTGCCTGGACTACAAACTCGGTCAAAAAGAGCTGGGCTTGTTCACAACTTTCTGCGAGGACTGGGACTCAGTGGACCACAAGGTATTTATGACAAAGCACGCGCATAGCTCTATTTGTTTTTTTTTTTCCATTGGAAAAAATAGGCCATTTTCGAGTTACCTTGTGCTTCTGTTTGAAAACGAGTATTCGTGCAAAACCTTTCATTTGATTTGCATGAAAATGAACCTGTAGTTGGAACACATTTTCATATGAATGTTTTCGCAGGAAGACTCGTTTTGACACTGAGGCACAAGGTAACTTGGAAATAGCCTATTTTTCAGTCATGCGACAGCCCAGTGGAGCTTGGAAGAGATTGCAACGCTAGCTAATTGCCGTTCTTAGCGTTAATACCAGCTGCTCACTGACAGTTTTACGTTTGTATTTTAGCGTCCACAGAAGGCGCTGATGGGATGTGCTCTTTGGAAAAGGAGAACATTTGTATCCATAAAAAACGAATGGAGCTGGTTGATGCTGGATTGATGTTCAATTCTCCATACCCACCACTCTTAAGAAAACAGAGGTCCGTCGATCTTATCCTGTCATTTGACTTCAGTGCACGGGAGAAGGATGAGGAAAGAC